ACCTTTGGACCTCCACTGTCACTCCTGAATGGTCTTGGGCCATTCAGCACCCACTGTGGGTGAAGTGTGTGTACAGGGGCATGATGAGCGCATAGTGCCAGAACTATGCCGGGTCCCGCAGCAGCCCCGAGCAGAAGTACAGTGCCATCTGCGGGGCGAGTCAGAGCCTGGCCAGCCCAGAGCTTCCCGGCCAGTCCCGGAGGGCCCGTGTCACCCACAGCCTCGCCGTTGGCAGCCTTGGTGTGCACAGACCTGATGGACTATTGCCTGCTGAGCAAAGCCAAGGAGGACCAATGCCAGGACCAGTGCCCCTTTCTGCATAAGGGGACCCAAGGGGAGGCCAGGAGGCTGGGCAGAGCCCAGGGGTGCCCATACCTCTCTCCAGGAGACATATCTGGCCTGCCTGGGCCTCCCAAATGCCCTCGAGGGGCAGCACTGAGAATGGCCCAGACATGTCCCGTCGCTGCTGAGTCACTGCTGGGCACCTCCAGGAGGGAACGGTCTCTGGTCTACCCCTCCCCAGCATGGGGCTGGGGCTGCTACTCTGGCCCAGGAAGGAGGAGGGAGAAGCCTGTGGCCATGTATGACCGGGGGCTGCAGACAGTGTCTGCTGGAGACACAAGCAGAAGCCGAGGTGGCTGTGGGTCTTTGTTCAAGGAGGCCACGTCCATTGCTCCATCTGGCCAGAGTGGGAGGCAGGCGAGAAAGCCCAGGATGCCATTCCCTGCCCCGTGCAACACAGGCCTCAGGCTCCTGGCACTTTCTCTCAGACTTAGGCCCACCTTTGGTCAGGGCTGTCCTCATCCCCTCTGGCACTGAACTCGCCCAGCTGAAGCCACGCTTCACCCCAGCACCTCTGTGCCCCCCAGTACTCCACCCCACAGCCGCCAAGGGAGGCAGTTTCCGGCCTGCCAGCCTCGGCCCTTCTCATCTCCAACCATCTGATCCTCCCAGGGGCTGAGACACAGAGGGCGGAGTTCCAGAGGCCCTTGTGCTGGACAGGAGGCAGGGCTGGGACGGGGAGATACCCAGAGTCTCTAGGGACCAGCACACAGCCCGGCCCAGCTGGGGCCACAGTCACTGAAGCTGCTTGCCCTGCAGTCCCCCAGTTTTCAGGGCTGGGTGTCAAGGCCAGTGCTGCTGCCTGGGAGCGAGTGAACGGGTTCCTTGCAGAGGTCCAAGGTCACTCCGGTGTGTCTCGCTGGTTCCCTTGCTCCCTGGCTGCTGTACACACTCACCCTCCTGTGCCCTTGGCCAGACAGACAGACAGCTCCCATTACTCTGTGCACACGGGCCCTGGAATCCAGGGCGCAGCTGGCGGTGACCTGCTCGGCTCCCTAACTCCACTTCCCTTCCAGCACCTGCTGGGCCCTGGGTTAAGTTGGGGGCAAGTCTCCGGGGGAGGTGGGCACAGCCTCCACTCCCAGACACATCTGGGCTTTGTTCTCAGCGGTGGCCCAGTTCCCCAGATGACCTGGGTGACGTTGAAGGGCCCTGGCCCCTCCTGGCTGGTGGAGGTGGCTCAGGGTCAGGTGGGGACCATGGCTTTCCCACAGGCCCAGCCATCTCTGGGACAGCCCTGGAGTCCTGATGCAGAAGCTCACTGGGGACTGCGTGCCCCCTCACAGCTTTCTGTGCTCTCTGCTGCTGCCCTGCCCTGTCCCCACCACAGTTCCTGGGGCCGAGGAACAGGAGCACTGCAGACCTTCTGGTGACTCGCTGCCATCAGATTCCCAGGCAAGGGCGCCTCCGAGCTCCCTGGCAGGCAAGCCAGGAGAATGCAGCCTTTTCAGGCTCTGGCTGACTCCGGAGCGGCTCCGATCCCTGGAACTCCAGCTTGGCTTGTACCTCCTTGAAGGTGATGGCATTAGAGGCAGGGGCATGGGAGGGGCCCTAGCAGGGCAGAGCCAGAGGCAGTTCTGGGACTCAGAGGCTGCTGTGCCTTCTCTGCCAGGCCTAGACCCACTGGCGTGTAGAACACAGACAGCCCCGCAGGCACGGCCTAGCCCCTCTCAGCTGTGGGTGCTGTAGGTGCTTGGCTGGGCAGACACTTGTGACTGGGGGCAGGTCAGGGTGGCCAGGCCCAAGCAGATCCTGATGGCTTCAAACCCAGCAGAGCTTGAAGTGTCAGAAAATAAATCCACTGGGGTCAGCTGAAGCCATCCAGTTCTTGAGAACAGACTGAATCTGCTGTGTGACCAAGCTCCTGAAACACAGCCTGTCCCTGCCCCTGGGCTGGGCTGGGGCCCAGAGCTGACTCATCAGCACCCACTGCTCCCGCTGGCCCGAGGGTCCTCTGGGGTCCTGGTCCCAGGATGCTCAGGCCCTGCACGGGTGAAGCTCAGCCTTGGGGGCTGTGACAGGCGTCCCAGAACAAGCCCAGCTGTCCACCCCACAGGCTGCCACCTCCCTGCAGGCCCAGGCCTAGGCCCATGGCCAGGTCTGCTTCTTTCCCACACTGGCCAGAGGCTGACAGCTGGTTCTGGACTCCACATGCAGGGGTGGAGGCTGTGGAGTGTTCCCTGGGACAGGAAGCCCCACGGGACCCTGTCTCTCCTCCAGGACCCCAGCCTGACAGGAGGTCTCGGTAGCCCCTCAGCTCTAAGGCATGTTGTCCTTGAGCAAGTCTGAGCAGGAGGCAGCGGTTCAAACTCAAGAGGCTCAGGGTGCCCCCTCCTAGGTGCTGCCTGGGGTCGGCCTCCTCTCCCACCCTCCGGCAGAGGAGGAGCAGTCCCGTCCACCCAGCCATGTCCAGAGCAGGACAGGAACACTGGTGGGCTGTGCTTGCACGTGCAGGTCACAGGTCTGGGGCCAGTGTGCTCCCAGGAGCCGGCGAGGACGGGGCTGGACCCTCCTTACCTGCATGGGACAGGGCTGGACCCTCCTTAACTACATGGGCCGGGGCTGGGCCCTCCTTACCTGCATGGGCCGGGAGCACATGTTGGTGAGCACCTCCTTCC